TCGCCCGGCTCTCTAGCGTAGTTGGCTAAACCGGATTACTCGGTGAGCGGGTAACGAACTCCTTGTGGTCAGGGTTCACTCCCGGGGGTAAGCAGAAAAGCCAAATTTTTCCCCAGATTTACGGTATTTACAATGGAATCAAGGCCGAAAGGTTGCGATCTCCATAATACCGAGCCTAAGGGTTAACAACTCATGGCTTCTGGATACTAAAACAACAAACAAACAAACCGAAATGTCCAAGAAAAAAAAAATTAGCTGATCTTGACTAATTTAAGTGTGCTGAAAACGAAAAAGGGCATTTGAAAATAACTGGCTAAGGTCACAATAAAATCTAGAGCTGGAAATGAGACATCGTAGTAATGTTTTTTCAGCTGAAAACGAAACGTCTCAAACAAGCAAGTTCCCCCCCCCCCCCCACCGTTAATATCTAGGTCACCTGGGTGAAAGGGTTATTGGCTTGCTTATATCAAAACGAGATCTATTGCCGGCAAGATATTTAGTGATTAGTGAGGACTAAACAGCCCTCAGGGCCAATCAATAGGTGCCCTTATCTCCTCCCCAAAAACTCCACAAGAGTAGAACAACTGATCACGCCCGTTCTGTGTTGATTAATCAGACGCCTTGTGTTTTTGTTGATATGTTCATATCTGACTACTCCAAGTTGCACTCCCATGTCCACCAGGCTGGACAAGTGTACGGAGTCCAGCTTGTTGTTGGGGTGAACTTCGCGATATGCATTTCGCTTGGCATCAGTGACGTTATTCTGTCCAGTGCCGGGCTTGCTCGTGGTAACCGCCCTGTTCGTCACATCACCTGCATGTTCATTGCCTTGAATACCCGCATGGCCCGGCATTACGAATAAACGAACAAACTTTTTCAAGGTTAGGCGAGTTATCAGTGACGCATTTAATGAGAGAACCGTTTGCTGTCTGATAAAGCCGGCCTGGATTTTATTCAGCATATTCGTTGATTCGCTCAGTATGGACGCCTGACTGAATTCTTGCCTGCTAAAAACATTATATAGTAAAGTAAAGGACCCGTTTCCCCCGCCTTCAGGCGTATTGGGTATAAAGGGCTAGACCTATTTTTAAAGACCAAACTGTACTTGGTGGGTGAGGTGGTCACCATCTCGCCGGCCGCCTTTACTTCCCATGACTGTACCTAGTACCCACACAGAACTGGGACGACCTGGAAGCTAAAATTATTTTAAAGAAAAGTCCGGACCCTGTCAGGACTGAACCCACGACCTTCCGATCCACAGGCGAGCTTCTAGGCCGCTACACCACCGCTTCCACCCCCACACTCAAGAAAAAAAAATAAAACATCATATGGCATCTTTAAATAATTTTTTTTCTATTATTTGTTAACATATCAATATTGTAGCGAATAGCAAAAGCAAGAAGCGGACTGGAGAAGACCAACGCTGCACAGAGTATATGTTAAAAGTGTTCGTATTACTGCAATAGGCAGTTTGCATTTAGTACAGACACTATTTAAGCTCTGCACAAAACGTAATTTAGAATTAGAAGAATGGACAGTTTTGTCCCTCTCTGAAAATGAATGTAAACAGGTGTAGACATCTTACCTGAGAACGTCTGGTGGCAGAGGGACAACCGAAATGGGCCGCTGGGGACCTCTGAATGGTGGACCAGTCGAGAAACATCCAAGACGGTCGTAACACACTTCATCATCTGTTTCATGAAATAATGCCAACATGTGAACAACAATTTGTGTTATCTTGGTAGCTGGAAACTTTAAATACGTGGGACATTCATGAAATAATGACCCAGTTTCTTTTACTTCTACAAAATTTACGAAACTCAGTTTGAATATAATACTGGTAACATTCTTTAGAAAAGTTAGTAGTTTATCCCTTTTAAAGGAAGTTGTAAACCAATCCTGTATTTTTTGTTGTTGCAGGAAAGGGAAAGAGGGGGGAGTGGAAGTTTTATGTGTCTGTTATGCAACTTTTACATTCGCTACTGCTTTCAAAATTATCGGTTCTGGATACTTTTGTCGAAATGAACATGTTTTGACCTCTCACTGATACCAGGTTGTAGTCCAGAGTCGTGCTTTTGTCGTCTCACTGATACCAGGTCGTAGTCCAGAGTCGTGCTTTTGTCATCTCACTGATGCCAGGTTATAGCCCAGAGTCGTGCTTTTGTCGTCTCACTGATACCAGGTTATAGCCCAGAGTCGTGCTTTTGTCGTCTCACTGATACCAGGTTATAGCCTAGAGTCGTGCTTTTGTCATCTCACTGATACCAGGTTATAGTCCAGAGTCGTGCTTTTGTCGTCTCACTGATACCAGGTTATAGTCCCATGCTGCGGGTTTTCTGTATTTGTCTTGAGCTTCTTGGCTGGCTTTGGTAAAAGATTTGTTCATCTTTTTTACAGGTTTTTACAACACAGTTTATTCCAGATTTTTTGTCGCTTCTTTCTCTGTCAGTATAATCTAGACATGGTCTTATTAGAACGTTCTCTCAAATACTGGTATTCGTAACCATGTCTTTTCTTGTGTTACTGTGATCTAACAGAAAATTTCACATGTAGTTATTTTCTTTTCTAGTGCCCTAATCATTGTCAATGTTTGGCACTGATAGTATAAAGTAGAAAGGTAAATGCTATTATCGTTTGATGTTTTGCTGGAAGAGAGTTAAGTAGTATCTTAGCAGTGGAACTAGCTGGTAGCTGGCACCATTTGCTTTCTGTACACTGGCTTCTATCTCTCTATGTATTCTACAACGCTCCGTAAATATGCTTCCTAGATATTTGAATGCCCTTTACAAATTCTACTTTGTTATGTAATCTTCTTCCACTTTTTAGACCTTACGTCAACGCGAAACGTCGTCATCCAGCATATTGGCACTGCAGGAGTTTTCGTAACTCTCGCATTATCGCCCACGCCAGTAGGCAAGGCACTTGATGATAATGCTGCACCTGTCACTGTTAGTATACACCGTCGACTCTCCATGCAGTTGTCCAAATCAAATTAATCCTCTTTACACGTAGTCCTTTTAAATGCTGTCACCAAACACTTCTTCGGCCTTACGGTCAGGTGTGGGTTCCGAGGACCCATTGTTGGGAAGTCACCGTGGCCGAGCGCTAGCTCGTTGCTGATCGGAAGGTCGTGCGCTCCCTGGGGAAGCAGGACTTTTTTTCAAAAATGACCTTGGCTCCCAGGTCGACCCAGCCTTGAGTGGGTACCTGGTGAAGTCCCGGGAAAGTAAAGGCGGCCGGCGTGATGCTGACCACATCACCCATCTTGTGCCTATTGGTCTATAGAAATATAGGTCTAGCCCTATATGCCCTATACGCCTAAAGGCGTGGAAAAGGGTCATTTTCTTTACTTTATTGTTGGGAAAAACAAGAATAAACCCATAAACATGTTTTAGGAGTCGACTAATTAATTAGGAGCTTCCTTCGAAGTCAGAATACATGTGTCCGCGCTGCAAGGAAACAGCCAAGTGTTATCAAACAAGCCCGTAGAACGGATCTAGACACAAAACTCAGGCACTGGCAAAAGGCCAAAGTCCAGTTGGACGAACAACCAGGACTGTACGCCAGAGCGTGCGGTCAGTGAACAAAGAAGAAGAAGTAACGCGACATGCATGCGAAAGTGTCAGCACAAGAACTGATACAAGCTGTTGTAAGTGTTGGATACTCGTGATCGCCGATGCCGCTGGCAAGGTACTTGACGAGTGTGAATCAGTTAATGCGCCATTGTACATAAAGCGTTATTTCCTAATACCCTAGTAATGCTATCATTAATATAGTGTCTCTCTGTCAGGTCTTACCATCTAGGTACTTTCTCTAGTCCGTTCAGAAATGCACAAACTTAAATAGAGTTGGGAAAAGGGGGGGGGGGGGGGGGGGGGGGGGGGGGGTAAAAGGGACTGAGTGTAATGAAATTTGGTATGCTCACTCCAAACATATATGACGTTTAGGAATTTCTTTTTCTCACTCATGAAGAATATGAAATAAAGGGTTTTGTTTTCCTTCTTTACGATAAATATTTTGTCATGAAACCGTTTTGGTAGAGTTTTGGACGGTTTACTATTATTAGTTTCCGGAAGTAATGGAAATAAGCACACTGTAACGGGTTCAACGGAGGTCAAAGAAAAAAAAAATCTGTATCTTTTTTTGTAAAAAGTTGTACTGTTCGTGAACGGAAACTAAAATATGACGTCGCTCAAGTTTGTCTAGTTAACGGCGTATCCACACATTTCTGTTGAGTTATTGTGTCATATAGTTTGCTTATCGAAACTGACAAAGACATCAATTATATATTAAGTTTGAGGTGTAAATTTTTTAACTCTGCAGAAGGTTACCGTCTTACAGTACCGGCACTTCCACCTGAAAAATAGGATGGATAATTTTATTTTGTGATTTGGATGATCCAGAGAAACGAACACAAAACTGGAGCTTGGTATGGGTAGAGCATCATTTATTATGAAGATACACTTCTGACACAAATATCACGTTTACTGTAAAATCTAAAATATCATTTTACTCATTTACAGTGGTTAGAAAGTATTGAGGGAATTAGCTGATTAGCAAAGTCTTGATCGTCTATGGACTAAAGAATCGCACTATTTGTGCGTCCTGGATATTTAAGGCTTGCGTGGGGGGAAAAAACCATTGCCATTTAGCTTGCAGTTTTTGAGACAATAGATTGCTAACGCTCTAGATAATTTATGAACGGACTATAAGTCCCAGGAATGATATTATCAATACAGAGTCGCGGCCAGTCACACACGATTCTCAGGTCTTACCTCCGAGCAGGAATGTGTGGGCGCCCATCAACAGGAACAGCAGCGATACCAGCTGCTTCATGCCTTCCATGACACTTCTGTGGAGAAAATGTGCTATAAATTGTTAGCCCTTCTCCATCAGATTGTTGTCAATACTTTTCTTCACACATTTTACAATTTACAGTTTCGTAGCAGCCAACTGTCTAGACAAGGATCTGCTAGTCGTTACAGTTAATGAATGCTCAAATGCTCAAAAACAGAACTATTGATGATTGCTTGAATGGTTAAGAACAAGCCACTCTACAGCAACTCTTCGTTAGATGCTTAGATAAGGCGCTAGCTGGGGCCGGAATTTTTAGGGCCCATGGCCAAGTAAATCGCTGCTACTGTGCCGGTAGGGATTTTTTTTTAGTAGTCCCCGACAAATAAAAACATTTCCTTAATTCGTCGAGGATTGGTACCATGGTCCTTCACAAGAGAGCCCATCGTTGTAACCTTTGGGCCAGCCACTCAGCACAGAAATGAACATGAGGTTAAGTGGCAAATGTTTTGTAAAACCAACCCTGGTAATTTTGGTAGGAACCTTTTCTGTTGCGTGGCGGTAAATGTTGGTCACAATCCAAGTCGTTTCCTTGTGGGATGCAATTTTTAGTTTTTTGAAGCCCCATCCTAGCTTTAGCTGGAGGGCCCTGAATATAGCTGGGCCACTCATGTAGGATGAAAGGACATCACACAAGCGATACACACCCGATGACACAATGTGCAACCATGCGGGTGAGGATCACCGTGGAGAGGTCCCAGAAACCACGTTCAGCCTTTAAACCATATTCATGGCTAGGCTATATTGCGGCTCCTGGCAAGAGCCAGAGTAGGGCTTCACATAACGAAAAATTTAACCTAAAAAGGACGAGAAGTAGAGAATTTGGCCCTTCATGGTGATGGCGAGTGCGACTAGCCAGTGAGTGATCAACAATAACTGGCAGAAAAATGATGACAGCGATCAACAACAACTGACTATATAGGGAAAAAAAAACGTCTTCCTTTTCTCCTTCTTCTTCTTTTTCTTCTTCTCTAGTTCTATACTGCCTTTCAACGTCAGGTTTTGAAGCGACATCGGGTACCAATCCTTGTATGTTTTCTATAGCTGCTGGTATTTAGGGTCTCAGATTTAACACCCATCCATCACTTTCTTGGTCGACCTCTACTTCTGCTCCCCTTCTGTCTAATCAGAGTTCCAACTTCGATGTTACCAACCACAGTCACTGTACATCTGTCTCGCCTTTCCCTTGAGTGTTGAGCGTCGACCGAATTCCCTGGCCTCTCCTCGCAGCTCTATTCTTGGCAGACCATGAAGTTCTGTTTGTGCTGTTGCTTTGTTTACTAGCTCCAAAGCGACGATTACATCTGGCTTGTGATGTATAAGCATATGCCCAAGTGGTGCATAGCCAGCCAATCTATCTGTCTGTTCTTCTCCCAACAAGCCAGTGTGACCTGGAAAAAATATCGAAAGGACGTAAACTACCCTGCACTTTTGAAGCCATACATTCTGCATGAAGCAAACCTCTCGCTAGTTTCTGAACATAATATCAGGGCAGTTAGAACTCATTGCTTACATAATTAGAAGGCATAAAAATCAGTGGCCACACTGGACAAACATAGAAAGCTATACTCACTCTACGAGAAATCAAAGCCGTCACCTAAACATGTCAACCGCACCGCACTGCAGAAATAAGTGTTTATGACAAACTAGACATCACTAAAATCAGTTCTCATATAACAGCAATTTGAATTTCGAGATAAAAGCGCCAGACTTAAAAAAAAAAAAAAAAAAAAAAAAAAAAAACGATATTCTCTAGCTCAGTGGTTTTCAACATTTTAAGGCACTCTTGAATACACAGCAAGTCACCCCCACACCCCCTTTTTTTGGTTACCTTCCA